CCCCCCCCGCCCCGCCCCGTCCCCAAACGCTGGGGGAGAATGATTCCAGCCGCGCTGTGTCGCGTTCGCAGGTTCTGCCCTGGGCTTGGCGTCCACCACCGCCCCGACCCCGCAGGCCGCAGCCTTGGCGCCGGATAACAAGCCGCTTTCCTTCAGGAAGCCCTCGGTGTCCATATCGGTCCCGTCGGTCACCTCCGTCCCGAATACCACCTCGGCGGGGCCGCAGTTGCTCGCGGGCAGAGCCTCGACGGCTGGGCCTCCGGCCTGCGCCCCGCCGACGCCCTTGGATCGATCCGCGGGAGCGCTGAAACCCGACGTGGGCCTTCTGCTCCGAGAAATGCATCTGCTCCAACGCCTCCTGAGCCAAGTGGCCCTGGAATTAAAGGGGCCTCAGGCCTTCCCAGAGCACAGGGGAACACTCGAGACCCCCACTTCCCGCTTTGCTGTGCGCCCCGGAACCCCAAGGACAGCTACTGTGGAAAGCTGAAGGGGAGGGAGGCGTCTGCTGTCCCCACGGTCGCCTCTCCGGGCTCATTCATCACTGGTCTCTCCTGCTTCCCATCACGTGGACACCTTTCAAAACCATGTCTGTGTCCCTGTGTTTTGCTGTGGTTTTTAAAGAAGCAGCATAAAGTGTGGGGGCCCATGATTTCAATCTCACAGCATGTTTGAGCAGTTTGTAATCACAGGGCCTTCCCTCTGATCTCTTCCTTGGCCTCACAGAATTCGGGAAGGAAGTAGAAATGTGTTATCTATTACTCTGCGGTTTGTGTTTGGAAGTAAATATAGTCATCCTTGGCTTTTCATGTAAACCCACCCACTGCATATTTCAGCAATTTTTTGGTACCTAAGGTCATTGAGGTAACTCAGCCCTTTGGGACATTATAGTAGGTCAACTTGCAATTATTCATAATGAATTTAATGTTGATTTAAAAGGCTTTCAGTTCTATTTCTGGTGAGTTTCTGTCCTTACAGTCCTGTGTTCTGTTTAGTTTTGGAGAGGGAAGGGTATCTTTGTGGGCCTCCCGTTCTGGGCTATGAGAGTCAGAGGTCTGTTAGACGCCCCCAGATGGACCTTCTGCCCCCTATTAGACACACAGACTGATGGGCTCGGGTTGGCAGCAGGTAGGCCAGGCTCACTTTAGCCATAAATTAAACAGGTGGTACCATTTGCATCCAGAAATCTCTTTGAAGAAAGTTTAAACAAATTCTCAAAATTGAAGAATTCTAGTTTTTAGGTTTTCACTTCCCTAAGAGCCATTCCAACACTAACACACCCAGACACCCATGCGCGTAGGTCCATATCCCACCCTGTCGTGACTTTACCGTCACCTGAAGGAAAAAAAGCAAGAGGCCATTTCAGTTGCTCCCTTTAAGGGTTTGCTCCTTTTAAGTTCCACTTTCATGAGCCGCCATCTGCCTATGAGAGCCGCTGGCTCTCTGCTGGGCTGGTGTGACTTTACTCCCAGGTCTTGTTCTCATCGAGTCCATAGCCTTCCTAAGTTAAGCTTCGCTGTTTGGGCTTAGAACTGATAACAACTCTGCCCTCCCATCCTTGATTCCTATGTGATAGCTATTCAGTCACAACCCAAATTTTAACCTTTTCTGTCTGAGTGATTAACCAGAATCACATCAACATTCTTCATCATACTCTTCTTAGTATCATTCTTCATCATGTTGTTATAAAGTCTCTGGTTATAACACAGGGAACGGCAGGAAGGTACACACATAAATTACAATGCAACGTGATGAGTGTTCTATGAAATACTATGGGAATTCAGAGAAGGAAGCTGAATCTTGAAGGAAGAGCAAGAATTCATGTGGAGATGTAGAAAGAGTGAACGGTAGGGCCTGTAGGCTGAGTATGCAAAGGCATGGAGACACAAACGACCTTATTGCAGAGCTGCAAAAAATTGGGAATGGTTAGAGAATTTCGTGGGTTTATGTGTGGGGAGGTGTATTTGAGGGAGAAGGTGGCAGGAAATGAACATGGGGAAGTAGAAAGGGATCAAAACATGGAAGTCTTGGTATGTCCTTTAACCTGTCATTATTTAGGATGGATATTTGGAAGCATTCTTTACTAAGGGCATCAATAAGCCTTTCTGGAGGTGATGGTTTCTGGAGGGGATGATAATTTAAAATTTAAAAAGCATAGTCAAATAAATTGATCTGGACACTTACATACTCCTGAGAAGGTATATCCACATCCCTATAATCCAGTTCTGGGGTTCTGGTTTGTGGGGGTCTTTTAGGCTCTGATTTCCAGCTCTCCAGTGCAGGCTCATCTCATGTCCCTTGCAGCACACCTTCCCTGGCTACCACCACTCTTCTTCAGTGACCAGCCTCCTTCCTCTGCTGATCTTGTTTCCCTGAGGTTGTACCACCCCGGATCTAAATAGGAAATGGCTAGCATTAGTGCCAAGAGGCTTAGTGTAATCAAAGCCATTAAATCTCAAGTCATTAAAAAAATCAGTCGATCATTTTTTAAGAGAGCGAAAGAGTGGACTAGCCACTCACAGGAGAGCTGGGATGGCAATATCTCCTTCACTCCCACCTTGTCAGCAGTCCCAACATCCTCCTTCTGGCCCTGCCACCTATGTCCATTTAGAGCCAGAGATGTAGGGGGTCAGGAAAAACAAGAACTTATGTGTGGAGAATGAAAATCATTCATGGTTCAACTCTTTGATCTGAGTGTATGTTGGGGGTTGGGGAGATTGACCTTTGTGCCCTGTAGACTCCAGTGTTTTTAAGCCCTCAGCTCTCATAGGCCATCTGCTACAATATCTGCAAATGATCTCCCAGGAAGGCCTGCGCCAAGGAAGTATCAGGAAATACATGACAGGCAACTGACTGGCCATGTTCTCTGGAGGAAGAGGGGTAGGAGAGCATGTCCTCATCTAGTTTCTGTTAAAGGTCCCACCATGCATTTAGGGAAACGGAAGACTAGCTAGCCCAGGCTGCCCGAAGAGGACCTCAGAGCTCATTCCCCCTGCAGTAGGAGTAGCAGTAAAGTGCTGGAGAAGCCTGGGAAGGAAATTACCTGTCTCCAGTTCTCCGGGCAGTTCTGTGTCTAGGACTCAGGCCGCAGACCTAACCCTGTGGGTGTCCATACCAGATGCCTGGCAAGCAACCCGGATGTCCTCCACGAGAGAGCAGAAAGGTTCTATTTGGATTTCAGCCTTACTTTCTTACTCTGTCCTCCCCACATCTTTGTTTCTTATCTCAACTTCTTTGGGTTCTACACGTAATGACTTTTTTCCCGAGAGACTGAATCAAATCCTCTAAGTTGAAGTCCAAACTCCCTATCATGGCATATAAAGCCTGTTCATGCTATACCGCATCCTATGCACTGCTCACGTATAGTTCGTCCTGCACACCGACCACTTGCTCTTTCCCCAGCACGCCAGCGTCTTTCATGCCTCTATGCCTTTGCTTATATTTTTGCCTCAACCTCTATGGGGGGCTGCGGAGGCCTTGTGAGCCCAAGCTGCCACATCTGCAGAATGAGGGAAATAAGAATAACCTTACAGGGAGAGACAAACAGTTTCTTTCATCATTAGAGGTTTTAAGACAGGGGATACTAAGGTGCTGAGAAGCACAGAGGAAGGGTGCTAACCCAACACGGGCACTGACAAATCACTTCCCAGGGAGATGACGTCTGCCAGCCCCTTCTGATGAACTATTAGGTCATTTCTATATTTTTGCCATTTTAAATTATGCTGCAATGAATATCCTTATGCCTATATCCTTAGGCACATATTCGAATATATTTCCATAGGATAAACTCCTAGATGTAGAATTCTGGATCAAAGGATTTGAGTCCTGTTTATTTTAATAGGTATTGTCAAATCATCCTTCAGAGAGATTGCAGGAATTTGCCCTTCCGCTGTGCATGAATGAGCTTGTCTCTCTTACCCTGCTCAAGAGGGCACATCCTTATACTTCTCTTTCTTAACTAGACCCAGAGAACCTCTTGACTTTTATCCCCTGCTGAATGCCCCCAGTTGGATCCTATAGCATTACCAACCTTGTGTCACACAACAGCCCTTCACCGCAGTCCCTCTGGAGTCAAAGCCTTTTTGTAATGCTAAGTCAGCCATCTTCGGAATTCCTTGCTACTCGATCCACAGTGGAGTAAGGGAAACACTTCTCACTTTTCCTCCTTAGTAAATGCACACTGACTGCCAAGTCGAGCTCTTATTCCAAACCCCTCACCCTAGTTCTTCACCTGGTTCCGACATGTAGCTCATCTTGGCTTAGTTTATTCCCTAGTCACTATACCTGCAAAGAGAATTGGTTTCAATGCTTGACATCCTTTACATAATAAGAAGCCTCTTATAATTGTACAACCCTGATCCAGCTGACGTCTGAGGCTGAAGAACTGGTACAACACGCTTTTGTCTTTTTCGGTTCAAATGAGCCAATCTCATTACAGTGATATGAGAGATGACTGTTCTCCCGCTCTTAACAGGAAATGTGCCCCTAATGCAGCATGTTAAGTTGTGTGAGAGCCAAGCTAATGAGTTTTGGACCTAGAGATGGCAGAGTAGAGAGGTTAGGAATTATGACTGAGGAGCCAACAGACGGATTCAAGTGTTGCTTTTACTGTTTATTCTGAAGTTCTATTTCCTCATTTGTAAATCAGAATAATAATAGTATCTGCTTTATGGAATTGCTAGGAAATTTAAAAGAGATGGTATAACATACCCAATACATAAGAAGCATAAGGTATTGTTGTGACTAAATCACTGACTCCAAAATAACATTGGTCGTAGGATGTACCTCTAAAGAGAACACTAAGAAACAAAAGCATAGCCAAGTGACCACACAACGACCTTTAGGCTTGATTAGAAAGAGAAGTCTTAAAAATCATAAATCATTCCCACATATGTATGAAAGTGAAAATATACTGGAAAAAATGGGTAAAGTGTTCCTAAGACTTTTTTGCTTTCAGAGTCTGCCTTTTTTGAATCATTCTTGGACTTAGATTAATCACTGTCCATTTTTTTCCACTCTTATAACAAATTGTTTTCTATGAAGAGCATTAGTAATGTAGCATTTCTTAAAAGAGGTCATAACGAGAGTAGCAGTCATTGTTGCCAGCTAGCTTTGCAATTATCTGGAGCTAGCTTACTCTTGACTTCTGCTTCAGGAATGTTGTTTAACACGTCTGATTCATCACCCACTCCACCTTTCCCCACAACCTACTGTTTCACTCTTGTCTCTAGAAATTTCTTCCAAGCTCTTATTCCCATTCTGTGAAATTCGATACTGGCACTTGGATGTTCATGCTTTTGTAAGCAATGAAAACTATCACAAGACAGCTATTACAAGGTGCATAATGACTTCAGAGATGTTAAAATAGAGTTTTAAAAAGATTAGGTCTTAGAAATAATAGAACGTGCACCCTGAAAGCAAATCTAGGAAAGCAAATTGCAAAATGTTTCGAAAAATGTTACATAGGACCCTACAGGCAGCCAGAGGCTAAAGGTAGACATCTTTTGAGATGAATTGGAGGTCCTCAGAAATCTGAAGGGAATGATGTAAGGACTGTTGAGTTCAACCAGGAAACCACTTCTTGAGACCTTTCTAAACGTCTCCTGCCATATGGCCGTGTAGCCATGCTTGAGTTTTGGGGACGATGCAACCTCGTTACCTCCGAGGACAGCCCGCTCCACTGTGGACGGCTCTGGCAATTAAAAAGTTCTTCCTTACAGATACTGAGCAAAAGGATGTCTTCATAACTTCCACTCACTGTACCTCCTGGAGTTACAGGGAACAACTCTGATTCCTGGTCCTCGTGTCAGCCCTTCAGATATTTAAAGACATTCAAGGTCATGTTCAGGCTTTCTTAAAGATAGATTCTTTTCTCCTAATTGTTTCCCCTGCCCCTCTCCCCCACCCTCCCACCATGTTTTCCACTGTTCCT